GCTCCGCCCTGCTTTGGCTCACACTCCATGGGCTGCACCCACTGTCCAACAAGCCCCAGTGAGATGAACCCAGTAACTTAGCTGGAAATGCAGAAATCACCCATCTTCTGCATTGCTCATGCTGGGAGCTGTAGACTGGAGCTGTTCCTATTCAGCCATCTTGGAACCGGTCCATATAGTAACTTTTTATCCTAATGCAGGCAGTGCTATCATTCTAGAGACATTGCTGATAGATTTCTCATCAGGCCAATTTTCTGATGCGTTTCTGTTCTTTGTTTCTGGAATCTTATATGATTTCTTTGCTTCTCCCTCTTTACTTCTTTTTCTGTATATTAGCCAGAGTGGATTCTCTTGTTTGCAATTAAGAATTTTTATCATATCTTATAAAATAAATATGTTTGAAGCTAGTTTTCAAGAGCATGTAGTATTGGAGCAAATAGATCTTTTAAAACATCTCTTTTGACTTTTACATAGCATTCTCTAAATTAATTTCTCTAATTGCTAATCTTATTTCAGAGAACAAAAATGAGATTTCAGAGATGTCCACAATTTTCTTACTGTAGCCTTTTTTGGAGGACAAATAAGATGAGACTACTCCCTTTCGTTCTTGGCCTTTGCTGATTTCTAAATAAATAATAGACTACAGTTTGCAAGCATCAGTAGGGTAATCACCACCACCCTTAGCCCTCTGTACTATTAGGTAAAAAGAATAGAAGCAGCAAAAACATTGCAGAAAAGGCAAACACATTAAAAATAACAATTTAGGAAAACTTTTGGAAGTTAACTTAGATTGATCATAAACTCAGGTTATAAGATCATAGAATAAATAAAATAGAAGGAAAGGGAAGTGCTTTAGAGAATAGAGAAAGCTGACTGACCCACTCTGGTAGATTAAAGGTGGCGACAGATTCTTTGATAATTGTCTCATTGCTTAAACCAGTAAATTATGGTGGAAGTGATGCTGTGCCAGATCTGAGTCTCACCTTTAAGAGGACTCTTCCTGTCCATTCCCCTACATTTGGAGCCATGAGCTACTTTGTAAGAAGTCTGATTGACTGTGGCTATGAGGAAGCCCATAATAGTCATAATAGCCATGGGTTGAGAGAGAGGGGAAGAGAAGGAGAGATAGAGATTGTAAGCTAGTCTCTAGCTGAGCCAGCCTCAGCCATTAGAGTCATCCAAGATGACTCTAGACATTGTGAAGGGGAGAGAAGCCATCATCCTGTCTGTGCCTGTCCAAAGTTCTGATCCACAGCATCATGAGATAAAATAATAATAATGTTGTTGTTGTTTTTAGCCACCAAGTCTTGAGTAGCTTGTGCAGCAATAGATAACCAGAACACTATACCATCTTCATTCATTTCTTCATTAATGTATATACACTGAATACTATTTGGTATACCAGTCTCTGGGGTTAAAGTATATTGGAATAAGTTTCTCTTAAACTGGGTTCTTTAATATTCCCATTTCCAAAGGAGAAAAAATGTTTTAAAAGCCGCAGGAGCTGATTGGAAGTTATAATAGAAAAAGGTGAATAAGGTGAGAAATTTAGAGTTGAAAGAAGAGAAAGTTAAGAGAGGAACAAATCAAGGGGTTACTTAGTGATTTGCAGGGAGTCTTTCCCCCAGAAAGTCAAGCAAGGAGGGGTGCTAGTGACAGTCAAGAGGCATAGAAAGACTGACTTTTAGTCTGAAAGACACAATAGGCACTGAACAGAGGATGATGGCGATGGTAGAATGAATCATGAGGCTCATAATCAGGAGACTTAAAGCAAAAAAAAAAAAAAAGAAAAAAAAAAATCAACAACCAAACAGCAATGGGTGAAGAGTTCCCAGGAAAGGCTAATCTATAAATAAGCACTGTGATCTTTCCTGGCCTGATAAAACATCTCATTATGAATAAAAATACAAATGCAGGCCAACAATTCCAGATGTGTTAGAGAATTAAATTTTTTAAAAAATTTAGAAACCAACATACACTTACTGTGTATTTAAAATCTTCATCTGGGTTTAAGGCCACACTATAATGCAACATATTCCTTTTTTTGTTTCGTGGCAAAATGTATAAAAATAGTGGATAATGATATAAATAGCCTCACATCAGCTCATGTTGTGTTTTGCTACCGAGTGAGTGCAGTTCGGGTTTGATTCTGGCACTTTGTGAGTCATGAAAGTTTTCAGTTTTAAGAGTTTCTTGAATCTTATAAATGTGGACAAAGGATTGTTGATCTGTATTAAATTGACTGTGGCTGAAGCTATATAACATCTATAAGAAAATATACTTTCACTTGGGAAAAAATCTATTGTATCTAATTTTGGAAATAAACCGAATGTTAACTTTAATGACTGATTATTATGCTGAAACAAAATCTAAAATTATTTCTATTGAGTATTAAAATCATATATATAACAATTATTTCTAGACTTCAGCTGACTTTGAAGTGTTACTGAAAAACAAGAAAAAATTTAAGGCAACAAAATAATTTAGACCATTCCAAATAGTTTACTATAATAGAAGTTGGACTCTAATACTTTTGGACTAAATGAGATAAACCAAAGAAAGGAGAGAAAGCTACAGTATAGAATATGAACTTGTATTATTGTGAAAGTGAAAATAGCAATAAATCTTATATTTGCTTACCAATTTCAACTTTTAAAAATGTTTCAAGATGGCAAGGCAGAATGATTCTCATTCTATTTCAAATTTTTGATACTCCACAAAAGTATTTGATATTCCACAAAAGTATTAAGTACAATATTTGTCAGTTTTCTCTAGAGGAACAGCATACACACAAACACACACACATCTCCAATAGATACATAAATAAATAGAATGAATGGTATTTATATATTATCTCACATATATGTATATGAGATTTATTAATATCCTGTGACCTTGTCAAAACTTGGCATATAAAATTAACCATCACAGTACTATACTATAGTTCTTAGTCTTATGATAGAACTGTGAGAAACACAAAGCAAATACATGTCATGGACCCTACTTCTTAACACATTGAAATAATTAGATAATATCACAGGAGTGTTATGTGCATAAATGTTAAATGAACAAAATCAAGACCCAGCCTATTAGGGTATTGGGCAGAGACAGCCTCATCTTCCCCTTTCAGATAAAGAAGTAAACTTGTACACAAAGCTACATAACACACTATTATAAAAATCAATTTCCTTCTCATCTGTCTGGGTCCCTGTTCACTCCTTTATCCTGGCGACAAGGAAGTCTTTGAACGGTGACTCAGGAAATAAGTCAAAGGACTAATTGGAGGAATTCTTATCTCTGTCAATGTCTAAAGAAGGACATTGAGAACAAGGGATTCAGTGGGTTTAGAGTTCCCATTAGTATAATTTTTCAGACCAGAATAACCTCTGGAATGAAAGGGGAGAGGTACAAACCTTATGATCATCTTTTAATCTTATAAAAAAATTTTAAAAGTTATGCTTCACCTGCAGTGTTTGTGGTTGCAAAATAAACTCTGATATGACAAGTATCATATTTCATTTATTCCTTCTATAAATGAAACATCATATAAAAGCTACCAGAGCAAGGTCAATGCTTCTCCTATGAAGTCCTTAGGTAGAAATCTTATCTCCTGACAAGCTTGTGGAAGATAAGTCTTCATTTGTGACTTTTAAAGTTTATTTTACAGAGAGCCCTTAGTAATAAATTACTATACTCCAAGGTCAGCTCTGTTTCTACTTTAAAAATCTTACCAAAGGCTATAAAAATCTTCTTGAGAAGACAGAATCCTGCAGCTATTTTAGAGTGTGCTACTTAGAACAAAGTTAAATAATAAAAGGAGATACAATTGTTAATACATTATCAAATTATTTAAAAGATAATCTTTCATGATTTCTACTTGCTTTTGAACTACAAATATTTTTAAAATACACATTTAAAAGAAGTTTTACTACTCTAAATATTTTATCAGTAACTCTTATTTGGCAAATTTTCTTTTTTCATTATCTACTAGAAAAAGTATAGGATTATGTTGTGTACTTCTGTTTTATGTACAGTTGACCCTTGAACAACACAGGTTGAACTCTGTGGGAACACTTAAAAAAGGATTTTATTCCACCTCTGCCACCCCTGAGACAACAAGACCAACCCCATTGTCTTCCTCCTCCTCAGCCTATTCAATATAAGGACCACGAGGATGAAGACCTTTATGATGGTCCACTTCCACTTCTTCCACTTACTGAATAGTAAATACATTTTCTCTTCCTTATGATTTTGTTAATAACATTTTAATTTCTCTCAAACTCCTGACCTCAAGCAATTCTTCCGCCTCAGCCTCCCAAAGTGCTGGAAGGCCACCACGCCTGTCCACATTTTCTTTTCTTTAGCTCACTTTATTGTAGAAATACAGTATATAATACATATACAAAGTATGTGTTGACCATTAATGTAATTAGTATAGTTGCTGGTCAAGAGTAAGCTATTAGTAGTTATATTTTTGGGAAGTCAAAAGTTATACACAGATTTTTTTTTTTTTTTTTAAGAGGGAGTCTCGCTGTGTTGCCCAGGCTGGAGTGCAGTGGCGCCATCTCGGCTCACTGCAAGCTCCGCCTCCCGGGTTCACTCATTCTCCTGCCTCAGCCTCCCAAGTAGCTGGGACTACAGGCGCCCGCCACCACACCTGGCTAATTTTTTTTGTATTTTTACTGGAGATGAGGTTTCACCATGTTAGCCAGGATGAATCAATCTCCTCAATCTCCTGACCTCGTGATTTGCCCGCCTCAGCCTCCCAAAGTGCTGGGATTACAGGCATAAGCCACCGCGCCGGGCCTATACACAGATTTTTAATTTTGTGAGAAGTCGGGGGTTGGTGCTGTAACCCTCGCATTGTTCAAGGGTCATCTGTATTTAGTTTTTGAATTCTTCTCCTTGTAGTTCATTCACTCTCTACTGTCTCATTAAGTGCTTTCATTCCTTCACTTGCCAAGAAACATATGATAATTTTTGTATGTTTGTTTTTTCAGAGGTTCTTCTTGGAATCTTCCTAATGTTTCAGGCCTAATGTTTCATTCACCTCATGGTCAGTATCAATTTCTCCTCTGACAAATCATATGTGATTAAAAATACAAACATCTGTTGCGAGGTCTTTAGTTTTGTAGCAGACTTAACTGTTCTTATACTACAATGTTTTAATTATTATAACTTTACAAATATGTTTTAGTATCAGTAAAGCAAGTTCCTTTTCCTTACTCTTCTTTCATTTATATTTTTTCTTGTAATATTTGTTCATGTATTATTACAGAAGCAACATAAAAATACTTTAAAATTGTTTTAAATTCTGTTAATATACGGTTTGTTTTGTTTTGTTTTGATTTTTTTTTTTTTTTTTTATGAAGAGTCTTGCTCTGTTACCCAAGCTAAAGTGCAGTGGCTCAATCTCGGCTCACTGAAACCTCCACCTCCCATATTCAAGCGATTCTCCTCCTCAGTCTCCCAAGTAGCTAGGAGGTGCAACCATGTCCAGCTAATTTTTGTATTGTTTTTAGTAAAGATGGGGTTTCACCATGTTGGCAGGCTGGTCTCAAACTCCTAACCTTAGGTGGTTCACCCACCTCAGCCTATACTTTAGTATTTAAATTACAAACTACAACTGTAATTCACAGAAGAGGGAGGGCATATTTAATTTATTTTGGAATTCAATTAAAATTTATAGGCATAATATTTTCATGTTTGTTAAAAAGACATTGCTTTAACATATTGGAAAACACTAACTTTGAAAATAATTAAAATGAATATACTATGTATGAAAACTCATAGGTACAAAGTGAAACTTGAAGCAGTTCTATGGTATTTTTATTATTAGCTGAAAGTATTAAAATAAATTCACTACACATAATGCTTAAAACGGTAGAAAGAAAACACAACCATCTAAAGTAACCAGGACAAAAAAAGTAATAAATTCACTTATAGATATCAGTTCAAAAATCCTAAGTAAAATGCTCAATAAAAAAATGAAAATATACTTCAAAATGATCAATGAAGAAGAAAGTTGATAAGAGGAAAATCTGTTTCTTTTGTATTAATCAAAAAAGTTTAACAATCCAGAAGAAGGTTGAAATTTTTTTTCTAAACTTAAAGATAAATTAACATGATTAAGAATTTCTATTTCTAACCAAATTCTCCTCTTATATTTAATAAAGCACCCCTATCAAAGTTAAATTTAGGAATGACGTGGCCTGGAAGCACCATCTCTATTTTTCCTGGAATTCAAACTAATGCTTTGAAACAAACCAAAACAAGAAGGAAGGAAGGAAAATGAAGAGAAAGAAGGGTAGAGGAGGAGCTGGAGGAAGAGAAACTGTGGTATAAATATTGGAAAAATATATATACTTGGATTATAATAGGATTATCATCAGTGCCCTAAGGAAATAGTAGCTACTAATTAAAAAGGCATAGAATTTCTATGAAAACAAAAGCAAAGTAAATGTTAGACCTAATACCATAAAAACCCTAGAAGAAAACCTAGGTAATACCATTCAGGACATAGGCATGGGCAAGGACTTCATGTCTAAAACACCAAAAGCAACAGCAAAAAAAGCCAAAATTGACAAATGGGATCTAATTAAACTAAAGAGCTTCTGCACAGCAAAAGAAACTACCATCAGAGTGAACAGGCAACCTACAGAATGGGAGAAAATTTTTGCAATCTACTCATCTGACAAAGGGCTAATATCCAGAACCTACAAAGAACTCAAACAAATTTACAAGAAAAAAACAAACAACCCATCAAAAAATGGGCAAAGGATATGAACAGACATTTCTCAAAAGAAGACATGCATACAGCCAACAGACACATGAAAAAATGCTCGTCATCACTGGCCATCAGAGAAATGCAAATCAAAACCACAATGAGATACCATCTCACACCAGTTAGAATGGCAATCATTAAAAAGTCAGGAAACAACAGGTGCTGGAGAGGATGTGGAGAAACAGGAACACTTTTACACTGTTGGTGGGATTGTAAGCTAGTTCAACCATTATGGAAAACAGTGTGGCGATTCCTCAAGGATCTAGAACTAGAAGTACCATATGACCCAGCTATCCCATTACTGGGTATATACCCAAAGGATTATAAATCATGCTGCTATAAAGACACATGCACATGTATGTTCATTGTGGCACTATTCACAATAGCAAAGACTTGGAATCAACCCAAATGTCCATCAGTGACAGACTGGATTAAGAAAATGTGGCACATATACACCATGGAATACTATGCAGCCATAAAAAAGGATGAGTTTGTGTCCTTCGTAGGGACATGGATGCAGCTGGAAACCATCATTCTCAGCAAACTATCGCAAGAACAGAAAACCAAACACCGCATGTTCTCACTCATAAGTGGGAACTGAACAATGAGATCACTTGGACTCAGGAAGGGGAACATCACACACCGGGGCCTATCATGGGGAGGGGGGAGGGGGGAGGGATTGCATTGGGAGTTATAGCTGATGTAAATGACGAGTTGATGGGTGCTGATGAGTTGATGGGTGCAGCACACCAACATGGCACAAGTATACATATGTAACAAACCTGCACGTTATGCACATGTACCCTAGAACTTAAAGTATAATAATAAAAAAAAAGAAAAATATTTAAATGAATGGCCATATATTTCCTACTCTGTGTGTGCGTGTGTGTGCGTGTGTGTGTGTGTGTGACTAAATATGGTGAATGTATCAATTGCCTCCAAATTAATTTATATGCTAAATGCAGTTCAAATAAAAATCTTGGCCAGACTCACACCTGTAATCCCAGCAGTTTGGGAGGCTGAGGCAGGTGGATCACCTGAGGTTAGGAGTTCGAGACCAGCCTGGCCAACCTGGTGAAACCTCACCTCTACTAAAAATACAAAATATTAGCAGAGTGTTGGGGTGCACACCTGTAGTCCCAGCTACTTGGGAGGCTGAGTCATGAGAATCACTTGAACCCAGGAGTTGGAGGCTGGAGGTTGCAGTGAGCCGAGATCGCACCACTGCACTCCAGCCTGGACAGAGCGAGACTCTGTCTCAAAAAAAGAAAAAAAAAAAGAAAAGGTGGATTGTCTTTATTATATGGCATAAAATGATATATTTGTAATTTCTGAAATCAAACTTTCTAGTCATATTATTTATATCTTCTGTACCCTTATGTATACTTTAATTTGTCAAAGATTGATAGAATAGTGTGATCTCTTCTACTGCATTTTTATCAATGAATACTTGTATTCCTGAAATATTTTGCTTTATATATTTTCATACTTTCTGTACTTCATGATTCATAACTTATTTTCATTGTGTTGTATACTTTTTAATATTTTTTACCTCAAATTCTGCTTAATCTACAAAAACTACTTTTAAAATATTTGTATTGTTTGATATATTTTTTCTGCCTTTAAAAAAACAATTGGAATGTTAGTTCCAATAAAAGAGAGTCATATATTATATCTATAACTTGAAACCATCTGGGACCAGAGGTCAAAATATGTGCATTTTATATGTCAGGCTGTTATAGGATAGATCATATAATTGCATGCAATCAGTTTTTAAAACTCCAGATAAAAATTTTTCTTTTTATTTAAATTCTTATACATTTTTAGTCATAAACTATTTGCTTATATCTTTGGTCAGCTTGAATTTCGCAAACTTCTTTTTTTACTCCTTGTATTACTCTTTGTTAATATAATCTATTTTTTGACCTAGACAATTGTATTTAAATATGATTTTTATATTACATAGCTCCTTTTGTGCAATTCATTTTTGATGTTAGTTTTGTATTGAAACTTTGAATCATTTAGACTGATTTTATTTTTGCCTTGTTTCATCATTTGTCATTTTATTTAAGTTCCTACAAGCCCCCTATTCTTCAGCTATTAATTTTGCTTCATTTCTCAATTATTTTGGGATACTTTTTCCTTAAAAATATGATTTTTCTATTTTCAGCTTCCTTGATTATGTCAGAATGTCCTTATCCTTAATTTGACTGGGTAATATTCTTGAATGTTGTTTTTTTCTTTCTCCTGTATAAGTGAAACCTTAATGTTTAACCTCGTTGAATCAGAGGCTATGTATCTGAGGATGTTAGTAAATGTCTCCTTACTTTTGGTAATACAGACTATTTCATGACCCCTAAACGTGCTACTTTGGGAAGCCTAGGTTGTCTTTTTACTCATTGCCACATGTGGAGGTCCAGATTCAACTGCCATCCTATCTGACAGCCTTTGACACTGTGAGCAATCATAATCTCCTGGAGCATCTTACTAATGACCTTAGTGAAAGCAGTTTTCAGAAAAGTGCTAGAAGCAGAATCCAGATTGCAAAAGGACTACTAGGCAATCAATACTTGAGGAAATGAATTCAGACGATATAAACTACCAGATAGCTGGTGGTAAAGGGAATGAGAGGGGAGCAGTAGTAACTGGAGGTGGAGACTGGTTGAGGGAAGTTATTTTCTGAATGGGAAAGATGTGTGTGTGGCTGAAGGAAGCGGGAAAGAACCTTGTGGAACAGAATAGCTTGAAAATGCCCAAGAATGGGGACTAATGTGTGAGGCAGTGTTGCAGAGAGCACCAAAGAGGTCAGAATCTGTCTTAGTATGTTTGGGCCATTGCAACAGAATAGACTCAATAGCTGATCTTAGACATTCCCAGCCTATAAAACTGTGAGAAATATTTGGAGGCTGGGAAGTTCAAGATCACAATGCTGGCATTTTTGGTGCCTGGCGGGGGCCCACTTCCTGGTTCATAGATGACCATCTTCTTGAAAGGGGTGAGAAAGCTCTCCAGGGTCTCTCTTATAAGGGCACCAATCCCATTCATAAGGGGCCCTGCCCTGGAGACCTAATCACCTACCAAAGTCCCCACCTCCTAATACATCACCTTGGGGGTCAAGGTTTCAACATATGAATTTTGCGGGGAAACAAACATTCATTGTTAGCAAAGGGAGCATACAATTACCTAACACATGCTTTGAGACACTGAGGATGTATATTTTCCACAAAAGTCTGTCTTTTTGTAAATCTCTAGAGTCAATAGTCAAACCCGCC